GTCCAGCCCACACAGAAGCTGGAGCTGAACAATTAGAAAATGGCTTCCRTGRWTTATTTAAGAGGGTACATCAAAGGCAGGGATGGAGTCTTGCTTCATAGTGTCTTGCAGTCAGCAGGTTGATTGGCATCTTGGCAAGTCAYACCCATCTCTGAGAGGCTCTGTGACTACRGCAGGTCACCCCATCTCTGGTGCTGTATGGAATCTTTTTGAGCACAGCCGAGGGGGAATTCACGTGGTTTGGGGTGATCTTACCCTGTGGGGTTGCCACAGGAAATTCCCAATACCAGACTTTCCCACTCACTGGCTACAATGCTAAAAAGCTCCTCATATATGGTTCATGAATGGCTCTTGATATATAATCTTTTTTAGGAAATTGAATCTGATTTTCTAGTATTGTGTTGATTTTTTTTTCAACTTTGTTCATTAGGGGTATTTTTCTTTTAATTTTTTACATTGTTACATTTTATTATCTTGATAGTTTTGCATATTCTAGGATTTCTGCAGTTGTACTCATTGAATGTGTAGACTTCTTGTACAGGCTWATTACTATTACTATTTTGTAGAAGCGTTTAGCAGTGATGATTTAATTGAATAGATTCATAACCTACAGTCTTGTTACTCTCCTGGGTGTAMAAGTTACAGTATATTTTACATATACATACACATTGGATTTATGCTCAGAAATGTTTGTGGCAGCATTATTCATAGTAGTATAATGCTGATAGCAAAAATAGAGGAGATAAGTCTGTTATAGGCTCACAGTGGAAATGAAAATATATCGATAAATCTCATAGAGGCTACAAAAGTAATACCTAGCAGAATAAATTTAGTATTATTTTATTTATACACACTTCTAGAGGAGACAAAATTTAAGAATACACAAGTGAAAAATTCTAAATAGAACAAGAGACTTTGCAAATAATCAAGATACTGAGTTTCCGAAAAAAAATACAATTGAGGAGGGACCAAAGAAGCATATGCAATATTGTTCGTTTTCTATTATTTAAGCCTAGGGATTATTAAATGAATATTTATTTTAATAATATTATTTAAATGTGATAATATATCAATGCAACCTGAATATAAGCACATTTATTTAAAGAGCATGCAAACTATTTAAAATAKAACTTAATTCCCCTAATTGATAACCACTGAGAGAAGGAGGAATGAAGAAAAGTTGAYTAATGGGTTGTAAAGTAAGAGAATTAAGCTCTSGTGTTCTAATGCRCTATAGCTCAACTGTACATAATGAYAATAAACTGCATCTGTGGATAAKTTAAAAGAGTTTGGATGTTTCCACCACTAATTAATGATAAATATTTGAGGAAGGATGCTCACTTTCATTAGAACATTACATTAAAAAWTTTWAAAAAATATATCCATGTAAGAAAACATAACCTAATACTCTAGAAATAATTATAATTTATATATACATATATAAATTAAAAATAATATAGAATAAATAAAAATTACAAACAAGTA